GGTAAGTTTTTTTTTTTAATTTTAATTTCGATCAGAATAAACAAAAATGAATTGAATTAAGTGATTTTGATTTAATGATTTGATTTTGATTTTCTAATAAGTACGTATAACTAATAAATATATTTCTCGTATATAGATTTCAAGAATTAAAGTTACATCATTGTGCAGATAATTCTTTCCCATCATTCGAATTTCGATAAAAAAAAAAACAAAAAAAAAAACAAAATATTATTTAATTAGTAATTATTCCTTTTCAAATTCAAATAGTTTACATCTTATTTACAAATAGCAAACAGAAAAAAAAAAAAAAAAAAAAGAATAAATTAATAAAATATTTTTTCATAATTTTTTATTTTTATTTGATAACTTTTTTTTTAAAAAAAAAATAACAAAAAAAAAAAAACAAAAAAAAGAAATCGGAAAAAAACCAACCCTAAAAAAGTTTCCTTATTAATCAACAACATCTAAGATTTCTGTTTTGCTAACTAAAGCACATAAGCCTATGGTAGAGGTTTGCTTGTGGGGATTGATTGGTTTATTAGTAGTTTTGGTTATTATTTATTTTTGGAATTTTTTTTTGATTGTATTCCTTCAATAGGATTTTGTTATTTATTTCGTGCGTTATTTCATTCTTTAGTCATTCGATTGCGTTTATTTATTTTATTTTATTTCTAGACTTTGATTATTCCAATCATTTCCTCTACATTTATATTCCTTTCCCATACCTAAAATAAAGAAATTTTTAAAAAAATTTTTTTTTCAAATCACAAATCATCAGGTTTTTTTTTGTATAAATTTATCATTTGTATTTATTCATTATTATCATTTATCATTTTCATTTGATTGTAAATGTTAAATTTTTTGTTATATATATATGACTTTTTTTTCTTTTCATCACTGTATTTTATATATAGTTTATATATCATTAAGTAGTATGCTGTTTTGGTTGTTAAGATATGTAAGATCTTTATGATTATTATAGAATGGCAAATTATTTAATCTGAATCTTTTATCGATTGACGCGTTTTTAACCTTATTTTAAGATATTACTGCCTCCTTTTTCTCATTTCCTTTATGCATTTTTATTTCTTGTTTATAAGGAAAAAGTGTTAAAATAAAAATTTTATTTTCAAATGAATGATTACTAAATAAATGTACACGTGGTGAAAAATTGCCCAATAATATTTCGTTAATTATTGAATAATTGTAGAACCCAAATTCGGAATATATTGTTTCTTTAAAACCAATATTTGTAATCTGATAAAAAAAAAAAACAAATATTTATTTATAATAATAATCTATTTCTTGTCCATATTTAGTTAATGCTAATTTGTACAACATAATAAGTTTCAGTACTTTACCGCATCTTCCCAATTCTTTTTAAAACGAGACGTTTTAAAACCTCTGCGCCGTTAATAAATAATTTACGTTCGAACTTCCAGGCATCCAATTTGGTAATTTATACCATGTTCCAGTTATAGGATTAAGTCCAATTCCTGTTATATCTTTAACTTTAGCATATTTGTCTTCATTTTCAATTACATTTTGCAACTCATCAGGCCTTAAATATTTTTGAAAATCATGCGTTCCCTGTGGTACCAATTTAAATAGATTTTCTGCTAATAAGATTGTCAAGAAATATGATAAAGGTGTCCGAGAAATTGTTGAAAGAAACAAATGCCCGCCTTCAGGCTTTTTATAAAGAAATTGTGTTAAAAAAAAAAAAAAAAATTCTCACGAAAAACAAGAATCCATTTTTTTTAAAAAAAGAAAAAAAATATCACATTATCTCACCTTCACTAATCCTGCGCAAGCCTTAAGAAATTCCGCAGGGTTAATTACGTGTTCAATAATTTCCATCGCACAAACAACATCGAATGTCTCTCCTTGTTCTAATAACTTTTCTGCATTACAAAAAAAGATTAATAAATTGTTTAAAAATTTATATTTAAGGAAAAAAAATTTTTTACAGAAATTTGTTATAAGATAATACCAGCCGTTATACATCGATATTCTAAACTACCGGGTCCAATGTGTAAACTTGGATCTTTTCGTGCATGTAATTGTGCGATTTTGATGTTTTCATCTGACGCGTCTGCTCCAATAGCCGAGCCGCCTAGCCTCACTAATGCCTAATAAATAATTAAAAAAAAATAAAAAAAAAAATAAAATCATTATGAAATAAGTAAACATACCTCAGTTAAGACACCACCACCGCATCCTATATCCAAAATTCTTAATCCTTTAAACGGAAGGTGGTGATGTGAAAGCAGTGGTGACTGAGACGCTTTACCATATGGATTATCTTTGACATCATTATCACCAGCCCCGAAAGCACTCTTTCCTAATTGCTCACGAATGTATGATATTCTTAATGGATTCATACTATGAAGTAATTTTACAGGCCCATTTGGAGACCACCATTCGTTAGCTAATTGGCTGAATTTTGATACTTCGGATTTGTCAATTGTAGAATAATTTGATGGTGAGGGCGGAGAATTTGGTGATTGTGTTTGTTCTGTACTTTATTCAATTTACATATTAATCATAGGTTCCACATATTTAAAAAAATAAAAGATATTCACCTATAATATTTTCGAGTCGAAGCCGGTGTGTAAACAATAAAGCATTTTGGTTTAGAAAACTGCCTATTACTAGTTAATAATTGCGAAAGATTTCTTCTAAACGTCTTAGACATGAATGAAATGAAAATTCGGTGAAACAGGTTTTAGGAGACCCTATAAAAAATTCGCGTTTTCTAGTTGTATCTCCTGATTAAGTAATAGCCAACATGTGAAGTTCAATGTAGATCATATATCAATCTTTCAAAATTTTATTTCTTTTAGTGATATTAAATGACGGACGATAACAAGTATGTCTCATAGACTCATTTGGTGTATTCGTCGAGTATTGACAACCAATCAGACTTCGTTGGTCTTGCCTAAACCGACATGTTTTTGTTTAAACGGCAATAAGCTTGCGTTCTTAACAAACCAACGAAGGTTGGTTGGTTGCCAAAGGTCAGAAAAGGGATTCTTCATAGCATTACTCAAAAGTACTAAAATTTGGCGTTTATTTCTTTTTTTTTAACGTCCAACTTTATTGAAATTTTGCAGCACCAAACCGAAAAAATCGAACGTCTATACCAGAACCGGGGACAAAGGTTTTGTTGAATAATTACTATTTTTAAATTTCAATTAAACTAGTTCGAATTATATATATAAATATATAATATTTTGATAGGCACGTCGATGCTTTATAATGGAGAGCGAAGAATTAAAAACGATGATATTTTTAACGCATTGGGAACTGTTGATGAATTGAGTTCATGTATAGGGTAAGGAAACAAAGTAGGAAGTATTCCAACCATTTACCAAAACATTCAACTTTTGAACGTTTATTATTCTATAATTATAGGATAGCAAACCATTATTGTAAGAAAGTTGATAATGGGTTAGAAAGCAAATTAATTGAAGTAGGATCATTAAGATAATTAATTGGTATTTTAAAATAATCTCTTGAATATTTAATTTTACTTTTTAAAAACAAATAGATTCAGTGTAAATTGATTGAGGTAGGATCCAATATCGCCACTCCAAGAAGTTCCTCGCACGCGTCAAAATTATGTATGAAAAGGAGATTCATTTATGTATTCCAAAAAAATCTTTATATATTAATTACATCTTATTTTAAATTAGCGATTACTACGTTTGATGAAGAAAACGTCAAAGTCTTGGAATCTTGGATTGATACTTTGGATGCCGTAATTATAAGCTTTAATACGCGTCATTATGTTTATAATTGATTATTTATTACCTTATACTTTTAATTACGCGTCCCCTTTTCTTTTATTAGCAACTACCTCCTTTGAAACATTTCATCCTTCCTTCCGGTGGAGAAAGTTCCGTGTTTTTGCACCAGTGTCGCTCAGTAAATTTATCATAATTATTCTGTATACATTCCAAATTAAGGTTAAAGAACTTTTATTTATATAATTTTTTTTTTCATCTATTAGGTATGTCGCAGGGCTGAACGTGTAACCGTACCTTTGTTAGAAGCTGGAACTGTAGAAGCGACTGTAGGAAAATATTTAAACAGGCATGTAATAAAAATAAAAAATTTTTTTTCAATTTTACTCAAATGATATAAGTTTTAATCACAATTTATATTTATTTTAATAGATTGAGTGATTTTTTCTTTGTGGCCGCAAGATTTGCTGCCATGTTTGAAAATCAAATTGAGAACTTTTATCAACAAAGAAGAGAAGATAAATCAAGCAATTTGGTGTCAAGAGAATTGGTTAAAGAATGATAATACGATCTATAAAATTAGGATAAAAAAAAAAAAAAATTTTTAAATTTGTTTTAATTAATTATAAAAATTAGTAATTTTGTCAAACACCCAAAATTGAGACTATCAAAGAAGAGAAAAAAAAAAAAGCGAAGGATTCAATTTATAATTAATAAATCGATAATGAGTTCATATAACGATTACTTTGATGAACTCAAAACATCATTCCAATTACAATCAAAGAATTTGCATAACAGATGTAAAGAAATTTAAGCAGCCATGTCATGTGACTTTTAGCCTGAACAACGACATGTGAAATCACAAGTGACAAAATAATCGGATCGTCCAAGTCAAATCCGGATTTACGAATCATCCGGATTTTCACAGATCTATCCTTTCATCCGATCAAAGTGTAATTTGTAGGTAGGAATTATATACTTCGGCGCGAATTGACGAATTACTAATTAAATTGTATTTTGACAGACGTAATTATTTATAATAAATGTTGAATTGGCGTAATTAATGTTGACATAATCAAAATTAATTAGCGCCAAAGTATAAGGAATAATATTAAAAGAAAAAAAAATTTAAAACTTAGAAATATTAAATATTTTATATAAAGTGATTGAAAACAGCTTTACAATAATGATTCAGAACATCTAATATAAATTTAATATTTTAATATTGAAAATATAATATTAACAGTTAAAAAGTTTGTTTAGAGGTGAAGTATTGATTAGATAGGGATATTTGAGTAGGAGGTTAACTTGAATAGATTAAATTAAATACTTGAAAAATGTTTACTACATTTTAATTGAGTGACAAATAAAGAATGCTTCAATTAAATTGCTAAGATATTAGCAGGAGTAATTAAATTAGTTGATATGCATCCAAAGCAGATTAACAATTACATTGCACCCGGACCTTATCTATCAAAAATGATGCTAAAAATATTAAAATATCATGGAAAATTTATTAGATCAAATGCGTTTTAGTTAGAACTGTAGATATTATTTAAAGTTGGTGCTTTAACTAATGGTGCCATTATTATATTTGATGGCGATATTCAATTCTACCAGGATAAAGTGTTGGTGGGAAGTTGGTGAATCATCATCATTGTTTCGCTGAGGTCATCCGTTGAACAAAAAACACATTAAACTTGTCAAATTGCCAAAAGAATCACTGATATATGTAACCAATTCACCCACAAACGGAAATAGTGAAGCGAAATTAATCAATCCTTTACCTTATTGCAACGGGTTCATTTATAGATTTTGATCCACTACCATTTTACGCAATTGAGCTATTAACTACATCCGAAACGAATATTCAAATAAGTCAATGTCCCAAACTGTATCATCATCTGTTTCTAATCCAGCTAATGAGGCAATTGATTTCACCGTATTAGTAATATTTATCCTTAATCCCTGAAACATGTATAGTAACTGCTGATGATAATTCGGATAAAACATAACTTTAATATATGATTTAATATTGAAATAGGTCTTGATATGGAATAACGATGAATTAGGTAATTTCAATAATACAAATTAATTTGCTATTAATTATATTAAACATGTCATTTTATATTTATCGGAATAACCCAGATGCATGTTCGTGGATTTCTTTTGCTCCTACTTTAACCTTCCTGATTGAACTTGCAAAGTGACAATAATGTTCTAACGGTCACGTGAATAATGCACGTATTACATAAGCGAATTGATTGTAAAAAAAATATATTTTTACCAAAATACTTATGAATGATGAGAAAAAAAGTTACCAATAAGAAAACCCTTATCATATATTCATTAAATACTTGATACTTACCAATTAAAATTCATAATTTTGACCATCTTCTTCAGTGCCTTCAGTGCCCAACACTTCAAATTCAGAAACATCCATGGCCCTAGAAGATTCTCCTGGAGGTGTTGTAGGTAACAATTCTTCTGATGTGTCTAAAATTTCTCCAAGAATTGCCGAGTCATCATCTATTTCATCATCCAATTCTTCAATATCATCGTCAAGGTCTTCTTCTTCTTCTTCTTCTTCGTCATCATCCTCCTCCTCCTCATCATCATCTCCTTCATCATATTCCGAATCATCATCATCTTCGGCAATTAATGGTGATTCGTCATCCTAAAGATAAAATAAATAACCATGAAACGCTAGTTACAATGCTCTTGAACCGGAAATAAAACTTAAATAACATACCGAATTATTTTGTCTCATTTTATATTTTCCAATAATAGGAGCTTTTTTACCTTTAATTCTTATCGAATGTAACTTTTAATAAAATTAACTTGCGTTAATTTTTTTCTTTTTGACCATTTAATTATAAGTTTTAAATACCTGTGCTTCATATTCTTCCTCTTCTCTGTCCAAAGCGATTGTCTCATTAATTATAGCATGTCTATACCAGGGATTTATAATAGTTCGTGGTTCAAGAGCAGGTGTCCAAAGGTGAGGTGAAGCCATTGCTAAATAAAACTTTAATTAATTTTATATTGTTTATATTTGAATAAATTGCAAATCTATTGACTTTTTTGGAATTCAGCTAGGCAAAAAATGCTTGATAATATAGTAATGCGTTATTTGTCACCGGCCAAAAAGTTTTTGACCTCGGTCGCAGTATTTCTACCAAGTCCTAACCTTATTCGCCTCGGCTTCATATTTTTAATTGCCGCAGCAACTACGTGTAAATCAATCAATCAAAATCATCCCATAATTTAGGCAGAAATCATAAATTCGTGTCTTGTGTACCATAAAAATGTTTCTTCGTCTCACAAACAATTAGAACATTTAAATTCTCGTTCTTTTTTATTATGTAGTTGAATGAGCCAGACAGTGTTCAAGAATAAATTTATGGTGTTCAAGTAAAACCTCGCTCTGAATCTATTTTCATACTGAAGGGGTGATGACCATAGACCCAAACAATCATAAACAAAATGGAAAATCAATATCAAATTTAGTTTCTATTGAGATTCAATATCAAAAATTCGAAAAAAAGAAATGGTTTAAACTGTTTTTTAAAAATATTATAAGTATAATCAATATAAAATTAATTATAATAAAATAAATTATAATTATTTATTTAAAAATTATTTATAAAGTTTAAATAATAAGAAAAAAAAATAAATTGAAACACTCTTTCTTAGATTACCGTAAAAAAGCACCTACCCAAAATAAGCACCTCCTAGACTTTCGTCATGGTGTAAGCAAAAACTAAAAATAAGCACCCCCGAAAATAAGCACCCTCTTGTAGCTGATTGGTCAGTTGGATTCAATGCACGACGACGAAAAATCCATGAAATTTGATGTCGTCATGCGTCAAAATTCCGAATTTTGACATCGGCGACGTAATATTCCGTGGATTTTTTGTCGTTATGCGTTAAAGTTCCGAATTTTGACATCGGCGACGTAAAATTTTGTCGTCATGCGTTAAAATTACGAAATTTGACATCGGTTTTTGTCGTCATACAACAATATGGATTTTATATCAGTTATAAATTTTTAATATAGAAATAAATGAACTAAAAATGATTTATTAATGAATTTATACCAAATTCATAAAATCTATTATTTAATCGATAAAATACTATCATCTAATTCATTTAAATTTTCCTTTTCATATTCTTCAATCAATTTATCAATTTCTTCATAAACTAAATCATCTTCTGATCCATCTAACATGTTTGAAATAGCACATTTTTTAAAACATCACTAATTTTTGCTTTTTTTAAGTTACCTGCTGCTGTTATACCAGCACCATCCATTCATGCCATTCTTTGCGCAAATTATCTTTAAAAGGCTTGTTAATTGATACATCAAGTGGTTGACATACACTAGTTAATCCTGCTGGAATTACAACTAAATGAAAATTATGCTGTTTAAATTTAACTTTTACATTTTCCTCCAAGTGACCTCGAAATGAATCATATACCATCATAGCAGGATTCTTTGACAAATTTTCAGACATATGAAATTTAAATAAAAAATCAATATAATTTTTCATTAAATCTGATGTCATTCATCCATTTTCTTGAAACCAACAAACAATACCTTTTGGAATAACTTCACCACAAGGAAGTTGTTTTCCTTTAAAGATACAGATAGGAGGATATTTTATACCATTTGCAATAATAAAAAGCATTTATTAAATTTAGTTAAATATAAAATAAAATAAAGATTAACAATTCCATACCAGCTAAATAAGTTAAACTATAGTAAAATGATTTTTATCATTTCCAGTAGTACGAATATGCACTGTCTTATCTCCTTTATTATTGACAGTTAAATTTCCTGCCATATTAAACCAAACAGAAGTTTTATCCATATTGAAAATGTTATTTAAATCAAAATTATACTGTACCCTCAACCTTATAACAAATCTTCTAAATTCTTCTAATTTTGTTT